CTGGGGTAAGGACTATAATCTTATTTTTGGTAGATATAAGTTTATTTTACTTGTCTATTAAAATCAATCAGGTGAGTTTACTAAAATAAAATAGAGTTATCTCCTTGCCTAAGTTAACAGACTATGTGCGTAATTATAAAGTGAAGTTAAGTCAATGGGTTTAATGACTTCTTTTAAGTAAAATCAACGTGTTGCTTTTAAGGCAACAGGTTTACTCACTTTTTTCTTTAAAGTAAAATAACTAATCGCCTTTTACAGTGTACCCCAAATTAAGTTTGTTTAAAGAAAAATCCAACCCAGGCTCATTCGGAAAACGTACCGCTATATACATTTTTGGAGAATGCCAAATACATCCCAGAAACTACGATTTTAATTGCAGAGGCTGCTGTCGACTGACTGAATGACTGACCGATTGACTGACCCACCCTCATCCTTTTTAAAACCCAACCAATAGTGTTTTCAAAAGCACTGATTGACCCTTCCACCCACTTCCCTAAGCCCAACTGACAGTTTTAAAAAACAATCTAGAAGAAAAGAAAAACTCTCACCTGATTTTTACCACGGTTTCAGATTTTACCACATTCTCTCCCTGTTATTTACTTGTTTATTTAATTTTTAGGCTTCGTTTTTTTTTGTCTTGCTCACTTTCTGGAACTAGTTTTTGCTGAACTCAAACCCCGTCATTGTGGGCAACTTTTTTCTGTCTCAAGTCCACCAACGTACATATCCATATAAGCAAAAAAAGGAAAGGTGTCATAACAAACGCAGCATTCGTTTTAATGATAAAGTTAAATAATAAAGTGCATCCATACGTACTTCTGGCTACACAACGACTTGTACACACTTGGACGCTTTTTGTTTGCGTTTATGCTCAGCTTTTTTCGAGATGTTTTTCCGCATTCAAACCCAAGTGTTTCCGCATTTCCACTGATGTCGAGCAGATGAGTACGCAAAGTTACTCCTTGACATTAGATGGCGCTACACAACTTTAAGCTTCTTGTAACACAGAAGAAGACAGACAGTTGACACGCTTGTTGTTAAATTTACTGGCGATTCGAACAAGCATGGATGGTGAAGTGATAATTGTTTACCAACCTTGTTTGCAATAAGCAGCTCCACGTTCATATCGCCTCTGGGCATCTTCTTCAATGTGCACTTGCATTGACAGTTTTGCTCTTGAGCGCCTCCAAGTGCTGTTTACTGTAACTTCAGCTGCTCCGTCCATTTGAACAATAATGAACAAATCTGATTGATGGAGAAAGTTTTGATGTGGGACTTAATTCGTGATCTCCAGAAATGTAAATAGGGCTACGTTTTCAGAATGAGCCTAGGTTGGGAAAAATCACTTAATTTTAAATATTTGTAGTATTAAATTTAAACTTGTTTAAAAAATGCTTCTTGGTATTATTTAAATATCTGGACTGGAAAGCACAAAATCTTTTGCTGCAATGCGATATTTAACTTTCTGTTTAACTTTGTAGGCTGTGTGTGATGTCCCGTCATTAGTCCGTCACAGCAGTGACTCTTTTAGAACCCTCCATTCCTAAAATATTGCATTTTAGAGCCTCTCATAACCCGGTGATTAGCTGACAGCACTGTGTGCATATAATAGGAATGAAAATACTTCTTGTTTGCGCTGTTCAGAAGAGAGCGAGTGAGTTTAACGCTCCCTCTTTCCCCAAGCTCTCAGGCTCTGACATGAAAACAACACTACGCTCCTTCCTGACAGCCTCCTTCCTGTCAGCGGTCTGCAGAACAAAATGACTGTAGACGTTTCAACAATAACTAATTACAGCGCTTGTTTATTAAAAAAAAATGCACATTGTCATTTTTTTTTAGCCATTCTCTTAGATGGTCCGTTTTTATTTATTTATTTATTTTTTTGGGGGGGGGGGGGGTTGTTTCCGCACACATAGATTGACTGTAAAGCTCAATCTTTCATTTAAAAAAACTGGTGCATTTGTAGCCCACATACAGTACTTGATTCCCCCAACTAACGCTTTTGTCATTTCGACTGTAGACATTCACTTCAGATTGCCGGGCACTGAGCCAAAACCCAATGCGAGAGAGACTCTTTCCTTTATCTGCACAGTCCAGCTGTTCTCCTTGCACGACAAACAAAGTGAAAAGAGAACAAAACAAGCACAAGCTTTAATTTCCATTCCTTTTTTTTTCTGTGCGTGAAAGCAAATGGTAATGAGAAATTGCCCGGAGGCATTGAATACAGGTAATGGAGTATCTCCGTCTCGCTCACCTGAAATGGATGCTGTCTTGTTTACAAAAACGCTGTTGATTTCGCGGAGAGAAGTGAGGTAGAGCTTTTGTAAATAACTGAATTGGAATGATAGAAACAGACATGCGGGCAGCCGGTGAAAGAATGTAGAGTGTTTCTCATCTTCAGGTGATAGTGTTATTTTTTGCACAACAGCTTCACTTTCGGTGTTTCAGCTGATATTGTGCCTACAGGTGCTGTGACCTCAGTTTGAGGATGCAGATTAGGTGTTGCCTGCACAAACATCACCGGCGGCATGAAATTTACAAGAAAGCCTTAAAAAGGCCAAGGAGAAGACCTCACCCCTCAGGCTTTCTGACTAGTACATCAATCTGACAGGTTCATGTTCAGACATGCCTGTGAGGGTCACTTTGAGAAAGCAAGCATGCCTGTAAACAGGGACGTGAGGTGGTTTTGGTTCTGTGAGCAGATGTAAACACGTTTGAGGCATACTTGATAGTCCATTTGGTTTCATGTGAATCTTGCAAGCAGCAAAGCGTGCTGAATAAATATGGATCACTGCAATAATGGTTCAGTTGAAATCAGAATTTTTAGACCTGAATTATTACCCTCTCTGTATATTTTTCAACACATTTCTAAATATAATACTTTTAATAACTCATTTCTAATAACTGATTTATTTTATCTTTGCCATAATGACAGTACATAATATTTTACTAGATATTTTTAGGATGCTACATAATTTAAAGACTTAACTATTTTAACTACACTGCAAAACCCAACAGTTAACTTTATCAAATGAAATAACTGTAAGTAACTCAAAATTGACTGAAAGTAAATTCTACTAATTTGAAAAGAGTTTTGAACTCAGTGTTGAAGGTAGTGAGTTAACTAAATACCTCATTACTTTAACTTAAATGGAGTAAGTTCACAGTACTCATACAGATTAGTTTTTTAACTCAAATGGTTTGTTGCAATTGGTTACCTCAAACGGTTTGAGTTGCCTTAAACCAACTGAGTGCTGTAAAACTCAATAAGTTGAGTTATTTTTATTTATTGGGTTTTACTGTGCTCAAATTGCTTTGGTTTTGCAAATGGAGTATGTTCACAGTACTCATTAGGATTAGTTTTTGAACTTAAATGATTTGTTTTAGTGACCTTAACTTTTTGGGTTTTACAGTGTAGGTTAATCAGGCAGGTTAGGGTAATTAGGCAAGTCATTGTATAACAATGGTTTGTTCCGTAGACAATCAAAAAAAATTTATGAGGGCTTAAGGGGGCTAATAATTTTGACTTTTGAATAAAATGTTTTACTTAAAACTGCTTTTGTTCTAGCCAAAACAAAACAAATAATAAAAAAATGTATAAATAAAAATATTATCGAAAACATTTTTGGGGATTGTTACTTTTGAAAGTAATGCATTACAATATTGAGTTACTCCCAAAAAAGTACCTAGTTCCATCACTTAGTTACTATTTATAGTAAGTAAAGTGTTACGTTACTTTTGCGTTAATTTCTATTACCTGGCTTGATCTTTTCCAGAACTTTTTTGTTCTTTTGATTGGGTTTAGGGAAGTGGGTGGACAGGTCAGCTGGTGCTTTTGAAAACACTATTGGTTAGGTTTAGGGAAGGAGGAGGGTGGGTCAGTTGATCGGTCAGTCAGTCAGTCAGTCATTTAGTCAGTCAGTTGACAGCAGCCTCTAGTGGATTTACGTGAGAACAGCAGGCCCAAATGACACTTGAGAGAGAAATCTGAGATCTCAAAAAGCATACACAGCCGCCTCTGGTGGATTCACGAAAATAAAAACTGCAAAAAAAAAAAAAAGGAGCTATCTGATTTCAGATAATAATGAGAAATGTTAATTAAAGGTGCAGTAGGTGATTGTCTTCAGAAACATTTTTTGTTGTGCTGGTTGAAAGTCTTTTCACAGTCCAATAGTAATGATTACAGTAAATGATCTAAATGTGTTTATATGTATTTTTATATTCTGGGTAAAGCATAAAACTAAAAAATGTTTATCCAATTAAATAGAGTCGGACAGTCATCTCCCTTAATTCCGATAGGCAGGTCAGACTGTCAGCAAATGTAGATGTAGATTAATAAACAGGGGAGCTAATAATTCAGGGGGGCTAATAATTCTGACTTCAACTGTATATCACACAATGAAATATACATTCCTTTCATTCCCAGTGTGATGCATGTCCTTATTGACTTAATTGTTGGATTTTTTAATACAAAATTGGATTAAAAAGAAAAACTAACCATTTATATTTTAAAACAATAACTGGATGCCACTTCAGGAATTATCATTTTGCATTTTTAAAAAGACTAACAGGCAATATCCAGCATACACTGCATTTTTCTTCTTTTCTGATAGAAATGACACTTTTACTGAGAGGGACAGATGGACACTACAATAATGATAATCATCAAACGTCATGGCTTACAAAGCTTTATTGGAAATGCCTTGGATCATTACCACAATTTATACTCTAAAAATCACCCATCCAACCTAATAGGCACCATTATTAATCTGGCCGTTAACTGCTGAATTGATTATGACTAGTCCCACATGCTTTTTTTTACACTTTCTGGCAATTATTGCAGATGTACAGTATGGTATCAAATGTTAAAAAAAAATGGCAGCCTTTGAGAATGTGCTTAAAACAGTATTTGTTAATATACCTGTTCACTGAATTTATCTTGATCTGCTTGTGTAGTTTCCTTCTCAACTGTTCACCTATTTCTTTTTATTTGGCTGTAGGAGCTGAAGGAGGGAGTCATGAGGGTCGTCTGCTCCTCTCTGGTGCTTCTCACCATCTGCCTGGGTCACTGGGGTCAACTGGCTTCAGCTGAGGGTGAGGGCCTGGTCTCCAAATCAAAGGATGAGTTTGTTAAAGGCTAGTTCAAAGAGCTACCAGTTTGCATGTTTAATTCATACCACTTCCAAAATAATGTTATGAATTTTTAAAGGAACAGTTGAAAGAGTAGTTCCGACCATAATTAATATTCTCCCGTCATTTACTCACATTCATGCCTTTTTAAACCCAAAGGATTTCTCTCTTTTTTGGTCTATGGAACATAGAAGATGAAAGTGTAATGGCCACCATTGTCAACCCCTATGGACACTGACACTATCATGCTTTAGAAAGCTGCATAAAACTATTTATCCTGTGCATTATGTTACCAATCATATCATTTCTTATGTTACAATAAAGACTACAACCAACTCGAATAGATCAATGAATTTAAAAACCAGTTTGATTGATGAAGCATTCAGTTTGTTAAACAGATAAAGTGATTTATAATTTTACATTCATATTTTTCATGCATTAGGCAGATTTCTTTTGCATTCACGTAAACACTTCTTCAGTTCCTGCATTCCCTGAAAATCAAGCCCATGCCTTTGGCATTTCTAACGCCATGCTGTTTTGTTTGAGGTGCATTTATCCACTATCATATGGCTTCAGAAGATGTGGAATTGTTGTTTTGTGGTTACATGTGGAATGCTGCGTTCACACCAAACATGGAATGGCATCAAGCGTGAGTGATTTACATGTTAAGTCAATGCAAACGCGCGAATAGACATCCTGCGGCACAATACGTGCGAATGGCACGGTGCGAATGACATAAATTGTGCAAAAGGCGCGGCGCGAATTAAGCGTTTTGCGTGTTTGACGCGCGTTTCATGCGACTTGCTTGAATTCGAAAGTCTGAACTTCAGCGGACATTCGCACCGCATTAACCAATCAGGAGCTTGCTCTTGTGGGGGCATGATTGTGACATACACCTGTTGTTGGAGTCCCGGGGGAAATCCTCCAGCCTTCACCGACAACAGTTTATCAAACTGGGCTGGGCTCAGTCGGAAGCACCGCTAAAAGCCTTCATCATCCAGGTTAAGTTTCTGAAGGAGTTTATGAGCTCACAGAGATGGATTCACCTCTGAAATGATCTAGTGGACTCAGATGCGGCCCTAAAGGAATCGACGCTGTTTTTCAGCCTTCATAAAGCACAAAAACTGTTATTTTCTCAATAAAATCCATGTTAGATATTTAGCTATGAAGCTAGAGTCACCGGGCAGACAGAAGCCCTGCCCATCACGTGAATCCGCGTCTGTTCTGATGTGAATTTGACGTGCGAATGCAACGGATTTGACGCGCGAATTAAGCAGGGATTGACGCGCGAATGAAGCGAGTAAACTCAAATGTTCACGCGGCTTTTTACGCACAAACAGCGCGATTCATCCACGCGTTCCGCGTCTGGTGTGAACACAGCATGAGACCATTGTTTTCCTTCTATACACTAAAGCTTGAAAGTCATCATTATGATTACATGCACAAGAAGCATCATTCTTTAGTTTAAAATATTGAATTCACTCTTCTTTGGAAGAAATAAAGTCATAGGTTTTGAACAACATATACAGTTTAAGTCATAATTATTAGCCCCCTGTATGTTTTTCCCCAATGTATGTTTAACGGAGAGAAGATTTTTTTTTTTTCAACACATTTCTAAATATAATAGTTTTAATAACTCATTTCTTATAACTGATTTATTTTATCTTTGTCATGATGACAGTAGGGTTGGGTTGATAGATGATGCCATTTCTGAAAAAACCTCCTTCCACACTACACTGCTGAAAACGCACATCATGTGACCACACACAAACACAGACACACACTCTGGCATGCTCTGCAGTGTAGGCCATGCGCTCACAGTTTATCAAGGATGTACTGCTGGATTGTGTCTCACTATAGTTGTTTAACGTGATATTTAATTAATCTTGTCTATATCTAAAAACTGTTCAGTCTTTTGAATCTATCAGGTAACGTGTCACAGCGTCAGTACACTGCTTCAATCTTTCACTTTCACGCTTGTACTTACTAATTTTAGTGAAAACCTCAGATACAGTTGGTTGGTTGCTGTTGGTTGTGCACCTTTTTACCACCCAAGTTTGTCGACGCCATTATAACGACACAGATCACTCTGCCTATTCATGCCAGAGTCTCGTGAAAAAAAGTGATTGACAGGTGGTAATTTGTGTGTAACTAATACTTTATTTATTTATGATTTGGTTATGGATAAAACAAAGACCATGTGGGTCAGGTAGTTGAAATGGTAGCCTACAAATAATTATTCGTTATGAATGAATGAATGAATGAATTATTCATAAATAATTTATTCACCGCTGCCTACGACGACAATGCCATCGTCCATCGCTATGTCTCACATTAGATATTGTACGATGCCAAATTGGTCGACATCACCCAACCCAAGATGACAGTATGTAATATTTTACTAGATACTTTTCAAGATACTAGTATTCAGCTTTAAGTGACATTTAAAGGCTTATTTGGGTTATTTAGAGTAATTAGCATACCTGCCAACACCAGTTTTTTCCATCAGTCTCCAGTATTTCAGATCCATCTCCCACCATCCTCCCATTTTGTTATTTCTTCCGGAAAACTCCTGAAATTTCACCCCACCCTTTGTTCTTAGCTTTTTAGTACAGTCTGTAACACCCCGGGTTGGCAACTTTGGTATAGTACTTATTCGATTGCATCAACCGCCCAAAACCCGTTCCATATTACACTTACTAACACCACAGGACAGTTACTAACCTGGTTCTCAGCTGTGTTATTCAGACAAACACACACCATTATTTTGGAGGCAAATGTTGGCAGGTATGGTAATTAGGCAAGTCATTGTGTAACAGTTTGTTCTGTAGACAATCAAAAACATATTGCTTAAGTGGGCTACTAATATTGACCTTAAATGGTTTAAAAAAAAATAAAAGCTGCTATTATTCTTGCCAAAATAAAACAAGTAAGACTTTCCCCAAAAGAAAACATATTATAGGAAATACTGTGAAAAATGACTTGCTCTGTTAAACATAATTTGGTAAATATTTGAAAAAGGAAAAAAAAAATCACATGAGTGCTCATAATTTTGAATAAATGTGTGCTGTAATGCTGAACAAGCAGTATTTTGAGTAAGCTAGCAAAACTTGAATCTAACCAAAGTACTCATTGCTCCATATTTTACAACTTCCTTACAACCCATGTACTTTTATAAGGTCTGGTAATGCTTAAAATGAAAAAAGAGCAGGGTATAAAAAATAAAATCCTAAAAGAACGACGAACTGTGGAAAATGGCTCAGAGATTAAAGTGTGATGCCATGCCTTGTTCTCTAGACTGCCAGAGCTCAGTCCCAAAAGTACGGCTATGGAAATTTGGGAGCTGTCCATTTTCCCCCCTTACTTTTTCTCACAGTAGTATTGCAGTGAGACTTTGAAGGCAGTTTTTTAAATATAATTTTTTTGTGCAGTTGGCTCATTTTTAAGATGTTTGAGGAGTTTTGAAGTCCTTCACAACTTAGGGATGTACAATATAATGTATCAGTGATCATATCAGTATCAAATGATAAATCATTATTTTTAATATTAGCTGTCCGATAAGGAATAAGGTAGATATATATTAAAGGGGACCTATTATGCAAAAATCACTTTTATAAGGGGTTTAAACACAGTTGTGTGGCAGCAGTCTGTATATATAACCAGATTTTAATGGTAAAACTGCATTAATTTTATTTTTTAGAATTACACTTCATGAAAACAGTCTGCAGAAACACTTTGATTGGCATTTTCACTTTGTACATGTCATCAGATGGTGGAAGCCCCGCCCATTAGTGACGTTCTCTCCTTCATTAGCATAGGACATTAGTCTTGTTTATGAATCTGCCACTATGCTGAGGCATAGGCATTTGTAACCCCACTCCTCATTTGAATTTAAAGCGACAGTGACCAAAATGGCGCAATTAGAGTCAAAGCCTAAAAGGGGCTGTTTCAAGAAGTCAAGGAGTTTCAAGGTCCTCTGTAAAACCAATAAATGATTTATTATCTCCACCAATTGTACCACAAGTTGCGAGTCACTGGTTTTAATTGATGCCCTCTATATGATGAAACATTAAAATTTTAATAACGTTCAATAACTTACTTTTTTATTTTTGTGCCAAAATTTGTATATTTATGTATTGAAACTCCTAGATAAGATGACATTAAATTGAGATCAGTTCTCTTTCTGTTCTGAACAGCAACCAGAGTTCTATCTCTCTTACTGACAGCATGATTCCGCATGCTCAACTGGCCGAAAATCCTCCAACAGAGTTCAACTCATTGCTGACAGAGTGCAACACACTGTATAAACTAAGCTGACCAATGCTCAGTGACAATTGGTGTTCAGTGTTTGACTATCGGTTTGCCAGGGCACTAATGTGAAGAAACATAGGAAGCTGTACCTGTTTAGAGTCAGAATTTCTGGTTTTAACTCTGTAAGGACTTGTTCTCTATCATCCATCATCACTTTATTCTCTTTCAACTTTTTTTTTTGCACTTTTGCTTGTTAGGCTTTTCTCAAGCTGGGTCTCTGTGGGGTTTTGAGGCATGGAAGAGGAATGTCAACACTTCTAGTCTTTTATTGTATTATATAATAATGCTGTTTTATCCTGTTATTATAAAAAAACAAGTCTGATTGAATGTAGCCACTTCTTTCAAAACATTAACACCTCTGTTTTCTTATATTCTTTCACAGATTGAAAATATAATTATGCTTCCATTCTACAGTTTTAGGCTAAACATCTTTAGAAACATTTGTGCATGTAGTCATTAAGTAGACTTCACAACAAGAATAAATATAATGATTATTATAATTTTTCCTTCGGCTTTGTCCTTTTATTCATCAGGGGTCACCACAGTGGAATGAACCGCCAACTTATCCAGCATATGTTTTACACATTGAATACCCTTCCAGCTGCAACCCAGTACTAAGAAACATCCATACACACTCATTCACACTTATACACTATGGCCAATTTAGTTTATCCAATTCACCTATAGCGCTTGTC